TCCTCACCTGGGCCTCCTCTCACCTGTCCTCCTCACCTGGGCCTCCTTTCACCTGTCCTCCTCACCTGGGCCTCCTCTCACCTGGGCCTCCTCACCTGCCCTCCTCACCTGGGCCTCCTCTCACCTGCGCCTCTCTCTGTACCCCACAGGACTGCTGACTCCTCCCTTCATCCCTGACTCCAGAACTGTCTATGCGAAGAGCATTCAGGACGTGGGTGCCTTTTCCACCGTCAAGGGTGTGGCCTTTGACAAAGCAGACTCGGAATTCTTCCAGGAATTTGCCTCGGGCAACTGTCCCATTCCCTGGCAGGAGGAGATGATCGAGACGGGCATCTTCGGGGAGCTGAACGTATGGCGCCCTGACGGGCAGATGCCGGATGACATGAAGGGAGTCCCCGTGGAGGAGACGGCCCCCGTGTCCAAGTCAGGAATGTGTCTGGTCTCCTAGCCACGCTCCCGACAGGAGCAGCTCTGGGTGGACATGCAGACCTCTGGGTCAGCCCGTGGCCCTCAAGGGCGGGCACCAGCTCCCTTCCCCCTTCTCAAGGTCGAGAAGCCTGCCCAGCCCAGAGCAGCTCAGCCGCCCCCAGGAGCCCCGGGCCCACCAATGTGGTCGTCCACCTTCTCGTCTCATTTCACTCAAAAGAGGCAGGAAAACATTCCAGGTGCAATAAGGCAGCAACAGATGGGCCCAAGGCCTTGCAGAGATGCACCAGAGGACCGCCCTTCTGGGCAGTGCTGGCCAAGGTGCAGTCAGAAGCCTGGGGCAGCTTGCGTCTCCTGGGCCTCCGTTGCTAATACCCCAGCCCAGGTCCCTCGGAAGGAGGCCAGCTCTCAGTGAGATGAGGGCGGCAAGCCACAGCTGCAAGAGGCTGGACTCTGGGATGGTCCCGGACTCCATACTGGCCCTGCTCCCAGCCACCGCACTTCAGGGACCCCCACTCGGGGACATTGAGTCTTGTGGGAGTGGAAATGGTGGGACCTCCCTGAGCTCAGCTGGGAATCACTGCCTCCACGAAGTAAGTGGCAGGGAAGCTGCCTCAGGGGCCAGCGAAAACTGGTGGTGGACACTGTGTCCTATTTCATCTCCTCTGTCACCCCTGGGGTGGACGTCTGTGTTCTCATTAACACCACCTGTGGTATAGTTGTATAGCTATCTCCTCAGTGCGCAGCCCCTGTGGTGGACGCCATCTCCTCGGTCCACAGCACCTGTGGTGGACGCCATCTCCTCGGTCCACAGCACCGGTGGTGGATGCCCATCTATCTCATCTCCTCCATCACCACCTGTGGTGGACGCCCGTCTCCTTGGTTCACAGCACCTGTGGTGGACACTGTGTCTCAGTACATAGCACCTGTGGTGGACGCCATCTCCTCTATCACCACCTGTGGTGGACACCGTCTCCTTGGTCCACGGCACCTGTGGTGGACACCGTCTCCTTGGTCCACAGCACCTGGCAAACCTGCACCTCCCGGGCCCTCAGTGACCCCGTAGGCCCACCTCACTGGGCAACCAGAGCTCCATGCCCCTGACTTCCACCTCCTTCCCAGAGGGGCGAAGGCACCTGGCTGAGAGGCCGTGGGCTGCAGGAGGCTGAGGCGGGCAGCTCTCCCACCTGTCCAGCTGCCAGTGGCCCCTGCTCTCTGGTAGGTGTTCCCACTGACCTCCTACCCCAGCGGTGTCTTCAGGGTCTTTGGGACCTCTACTGGGGGTGGTCTCTCAGGAACAGTCATCCTTCCTGCTGACCCTAGCAACTTGCAGCCTTCTAGGTCCTAGATCTGAGGTCCTGCCTGGACGCTGGCCAGCAGCTGCAACTCATCTGCTGTGCTTCATGATCTCCTGGGGAGGAGGGCAGCAGAGACCAGGGCCCTGCTGCAGGAGACTGGCACGTCTCTCAGGAAGCCTGGACACTGCTCATGGCAGGCCTGGGGTCCTCTGCAGAGAGCCCCCAGTTCTGACCCTACCGGAGACCCTCCTGGGACCCACATCATGCAGTGTCCTCTCTTGCATGGCTGTCGCTGGGGCCTGATGGGCAGTGTTCCACTTCTGACCCCCTGAGACCTGCAGCTGTGGTGACCCTAGCCCCCTCACTTCCATAGTGATTCTAGAAACTTTGTGCCCTCCAGAGGGGAGCAGGGGGAGCAGGAGATGCCCTGGGGAGGTGCAGTCAGAAAGGACTTCGGAGAAAAAGATGGTTCCGTTAAAGGACTATTAAAAATACTAACAAAGAGGGCAGGTTCCTTGGATCGTGGTATGAATTCCCACTTGCATTCTTTCTTTTAAAATTGAACGTACATATGCATGCATGTGCTTACATACACACACCTTAAACACAGCTACACACTCACCCATACACGCTCCTGCACACACATGCACACCTGCACACACCTGCACACACACCTGCACACACACCTGTGTAAACCTCTACACAGACCCATACACATGCATAATTCTGCCTACACCTGCACACACCTGTACACACCTGCATACACCTGTACATACCTGTGCACACACTACTATGCACCCCCGCACACTCCAGCATACATCCTATACATCCCTCATGTATACACCCCTGCATACATGCGTGCACACACACCTGCACACGTGCACGCACTTGCACATCGCCCCACCCTTACACACATCTTCATATTCTCCTACACACCCTGGCTGGTTAGGGGGAGCCTCCTGGCTGGTTGGGAGATCTCCTGAAAGGGGGGCTTCCTGGCTGGGCAGCCTCCTGCACGGCTGGGCAGCCTCCCGGTCGGCTGGGCAGGCTCCTGGCTGGGCAGCCTCCTCGTTAGCTCTGTTCCTCAAGCACCAGGTGTTACCGGGCTGTAAAGGGCAGTCTCTGGCCCAAGTGCTGGGGCACCAGAAGAACGGCAAACCCCCTGCCTCCTGTGGCTGAGGTCCTTGGGACGTGGGAGACATGGACTGTAGGGTTCCGAGGGGTGACTGGCGCAGGTGAGACCGTGGAGAGCAGAGCAGGAAAGGAGTGTGCTAGCCCGGCTCCCGTCCCACCAGGTGGCCACAGAGGACCGTCTCCTCCCTGTTGGAGAGACCTGGGGCAAAGCTGGGGTGAGGCTGCCCAGGGCCTCATCCCCACAGAGCTCTGGAAGCACTGGGGCTCCCTCAGGACTCGGGTTGACTGGTGTGGCACCAGGGGCACTTCGGCCCCACCCAGGGGACCGCCGTGTGCCGCACTCTTTGGAAACCCTGGTTAGAGCTGGGTCCCACCTGCCCTCGTGCCAAGTGTGATGTCCACCCTGGTGGAACTCAGTGCCCTCACCCCCAAGGGTCACTTTCCCAGCAGCTTCTGTGCCGGGGTCCAGCCCTGGCGGGATCCAGGGGTCCTGAAGGAGGAGTGGCGTCAGCCAAAGAAGAAGAGCAGGACGACAGGTGGCAAGTTATGAGCAGCGTCCAGAAAGACCTGCTGCCCCAGGGGGCCTCTGTTTTATGCCTTTTTATAGGTGTTTTTCCAGGTAGTTAATGGATAGCCTCAAAGCCTGGAGCTTCTTTGACTTACATGATTTTCAAGAGTTACGATCTTTTCTGACATACAGTGTGACCTAAGATATTGAGTACCTTGTTCAAAATATCGTTCTGTAGCCTTAGACAGTCAGGACGTGAGCGTCGCATTTTCACCTCAATGTCTAGGGGCTAGGCTGCGCAACAGACCACATGTCTCCAGACTTTTATTCACTTCTAACTTTCAAGCGTACCTAGAGTTATTTTATCAACCTTTAGCTTTAAAGCATACTTATGATTATTGGAAAACTTTCTTATTTTTAAACTAAAGTCCCAGTAAAACACACTTAAAATAGTGAAAGTCTAGTACTTAAAAGCCTACTACTCTGAAGTGCTTCTAAGATATATCTATATTAATTTTACATCATTTATTTTTAATTTCCAAGGTAATTTCCTTTTTTCATGTGACCTATTTAATTGCTTTCTCACAGTTTCCTTGATCCTTGGTCAAAGCATGCCAGTTCTTATGTCTCTGCAATCTTTAATAAAGGGCAGGCCTTACACCTCCACCCATGTGTCATTTATATTAACTGTGTGTTTTCCATTTTCATCATAAGTTTCTGTGGAAGGCGAAGGAGACTGTGTTGGTTGGGGAATGTATTTCTATTAGCCTCCTGCCCTCGACGGGGATACCATAAGCTACATATGGCGTTCCTTGTACTGCGGGCACAGCAATTGTCCTTCTGTAGCTAGGTGTTGTACGGGTTGTGGCTTTAGGGGGGGTTGAGGGGAGGTAATGTAAATTGTTAACATGGGGTAAACATCTCTCGTTGCTCAGGCCTGGGAATGACACCTTGTTTGTGTCCTGAGAGACACTGAAACGCACCCCATGGCCTGTCCCAACGCTGCCCTTGGTCTCATCTGGGACTCTCCTGCAGTCTCGGGCAACACGTACTGTCATTATGGATTGACACGCGCCCTGCTCTCCACGTCATGATGTCATAAACAGACACTTGATCCTCCCCATGGTTCCCGTTTCCAGATGGCGCGGCCCTGCCGCGGCATCCCCCACCTGGGACCCTGTCAGACAGCGGGTGCAGGAACGCCTTCACCACTCTGTCCCATGGAAGGTGGCCGAGGAGCGGGATCTGCCAGCATGTCCACGGGAAGCCAAGGATGGGCTGAGCGTGCCGGAGCCAGGCCCTGCCTAAGGACAGGGAGAGCGGGCCCTGCCGGTGGCCGTGTGGACTGCAGCTTGGGGTCGCGGGGTGACTCACTCTGGTGTTGCAGAGGCTGTGTCCTCATACCCGCCTAGCGGCCACGCGTCACCCTTGGGCCTTTGCCCCCGGGGCTCACCTGCACCTGGGCCTGAAGATGAAGCTGCACCAGCAGAGGGTGGTTCTGATTCCACGGTTCTCGGTTTTGTTTTTGAGTAGTTTGTCTTTGGAGACAGGGTCCTGCTAAGTTGCCACCTGGCCTCGAACTGCGGGCCACCTGCCTCAGGCTCCCAGGGGCTGGATGTCAGGTGTGGCCTCTGCACCTGGCTGAAAGGCCTCAGTGTGGAACAGGACACTGAGGTGACGTGCAGTGGGCTTTCAGGGGGTGCTGACCACCCAGGAGCCTGACTGGCTCTGAGAGTGACCACAGTCCCCCTCCCGCAGCAGCAAAATGCTTTTCCAAGTCCCAACTCTGTCACTTCCAAGACACATGGGCTGAGGGGTCAGTGCCAATGAGGGGCAGAGGGAAGGCCGCAGAGCAGGCCCTGGGCTGGGGCCACCTGGGGTGTGAGACCTCCCTGCGCTGCTGCAGTTCAGGGCCACTGCTGGCCAATACCTGACCCCGCCAAGTGCTCCAAGGCCCGCCGTGGCAGGGTCTTGTTTCGGAGGCTGCAGGGCCTGGTTCTCTCCTTTCCGCAGCAGGCCCGTCTCCGGCCTGTGTGGATTTTTGTGTGAATTGAGGCGCTGGACAAGCCTGTGGTTCCAAGT